TTCTCTTACAGAATGGCCGGTGGGTTCAAGCCACTGACCTTGCAGTTAGTAGGAAAGTGTGTAGCCTGCTCTGGCATCTGAGCTCTTCCATTTATCCCCAAAATGGAGCTTCCGTAATGACTACCACAGCCAATGTGCCATGCCATGCCATGCCATGCCATGGTGGCTTGTCTTCAGCTGTGATACTCGCAGCTCTGCGGCCTGTATTTCAAACACCCTCAGGGTAACCGCTGGTGGAGAGGTTTGAGCAAAGCTTCTACACAAAATAGAAAAAAAAAAGGGCTGGTGATGTCATTCTTAAAATAAGCCATTAAAACCCTGGTGGCTCATAACAAATCATTGTTTGAAACCTTTGCTTTGGATACATCTTTAGGCCCAATTCGTCCCTGGAGGTGAACACTGTATTTGGTGAAGTACAGGCCAAGCCAGGGCATGGTTACCTTTGGTAAGAAAAAGCGGCCGAGCAATGGCAACGGCAGCCTCAAACAAGCCACAGGGAGGCTGATGCTGGGCCCTCTGTTGCCATGCGGCAGTGTCAACTCCATGGCGGCTGTTGTCTGTCTGTCTAGGATGTCAGCAAAGATGAGGATGGTCCTCAGTGAGACAGGTCACCCAGCTGGTGCACCAATGGGCAGAAAGGTAACAATTGTGAGGATGGCGCAGGATTGGATAATGTTTTTTCTGTTGTACATAAGATTGGGAAACCAACTTGACAGGACCTAACAAAATTAATGATTCATACATCCCTCCATGCATCCATGCACCCTCATGCATCCATGCACCCATGCACCCATGCATCCATGCACCCATTCATGAAGAGGATGGATGCTGCTATTGTTTACAGCTACCTGACATCAGGGAGATTAAGTAAAGAAAGGAGAAAGCTCGTAGGACATAAATATCTGCAATGGCTGAGAGGCATTGGGCAGGGAATGAGTCTTATGGGATCTGTGGGATCTGTAAGAGTTTGAGTTCAGTCATGGAAAACACCGATGTTTGAATCTGGCGTGAGCACAGCGCAGGCTGAACACTTCTCTCAAAAGGGAAAGATATACCGATGGGGAAGGGGAGTGAGGAAAACATCTCATATATCTTGTTCACTAAAAGTGTCATTTTAGTGTCAGTTCCTATTTCTTTTAAATCCATTAAGACTCATACACTGCAGTTTCTAGTCAGGAAAGACAGACATCGTTATACACATTTGTTCCTGACACCTTGGGGTCCATTTTCAGCACTGCACCCCTGGGAAATCACTGTAGGTGTGCAATTCTGGTGACTGTTAAGTGGATGTGTGAAGCCGATTCCCCCTGTACACCAAGGACACGTAGTCAGAGCTAGCTTTGTTTTCTGAAGCGTTTCAGCTCGCTTTAAATGGAGCCTGTGAATTCTTTCCTTCGTATCCAGCCTGGGGAATCACTCTGCCTTACGGCTTATGTCGGGCGAAAGGTGGGAGAAAAGAGAAACAACACCCAAACAACCCTCTTCTCAACATAGAGAAGTATCCTCTCTGTTTTCACACACACGTTTCAACAGTGTCAGCGTCGAAGGCCTTGGGGAGAGATATGTCTACTTGTGTGCATTTGAAGGTTTAACTTTAAGGCCATCGTCCCATATGAGCCTCGTACTCTTTTGATTTGGCCTGGTATATAATGTGGGGTCTATAAAAGTCATATATGACTGCTCAGGCAGTCAGCTTTGAATGACAACTTCGGCAATGGGGACGTCCGTGATCATGCTGATAATAACTTGTTTATTGAGTACTTATGTTCAAAGGACTCCCCCAGGGGCATTGTGATGATGTGGATTCAGAGCTTATTGGACAGGAATGGCAATGTGCTTTCTAGGTACCGTCCTTCTATAGTCTCCACAATTGTTGTTCTTATTTCTGCGTATATTTCTAGAGAAAGAAGCCGAGGCGCTCCATGGTATGACCTGCCCCTGGTGACTGGCAAAGCCAGAAGCTCGCCATTGGTGTATCTATGGATTTGCCTAGGTATTTGCAGATAAGCCCACATGGCTGTTAGAGATGCCACGCCATTTCCGTGCCCCATGAGAACGCGCTCTCAGGTGTTACCCACACTAGTTGTGAGACTCTGACAACCTCCATCCCCACTTGGCTAAAGTTGGATACAAGCTGTCCATTTCCCAGGAAAAGCCACTTCCCTGGGGTTTTTACAAACCCTTACACCTAAGTGACACATTAGAACACATATTAGACTCATTTGATTCACCATCATTCAAGTCATTATAAATAATGTAAGATGACACATGAAGCAGAAACTGCTTCCTCCTTCCCAATGTCTCTGAATTTCCCCTAGTTCTACATGACCCACTTTAGGCAAGATTTCCACTAATGAACACATAAGCTAGTTTCTGATTTCCAAATGTACATTAAAGCCCATCTAATGCAAAATTAACCTATCTTTATTACTGAAACTGTAGCCTATTAAGGTTGCATGCCGAGCTACAGAATGATCAATTTCGAAGAGCTTTCCACATGAGGTACCTGTGACTTTAGAAACTGTTCCCCCTTTCTGAAATTGAGTTTTCAATCAAAGATTCATGAAGGTGAGAAAGGATAGGAAGATGGGACAAGGAGCAGCCTTTCAAGGTCACACACGCTAAGTTTTGGTCCCCGGACAAACCCAATTTAGCTGAAATCATTATCCCTGTGAGATATTGACATTTGCAACACAAAATGTAAAAGCAGCAAATGCTCCATAAATGTTAGCTATGATAAGAACTTCTCTCAGTAGTTCTTATTTTCCTCACAGAACCACTGGAAGATGAATGGTAATCTTGTTTGTAGTTTTTAAGTACTTAACTGTAAACTACACAAGGTATTTTACTAACAGAGCAAGGAGGGAAGTTGTTTAGTTCTCAAAGTCCTGTTCTTTGCTACCATCTTATACTGTTAGCACTTGCACCCTAAAGAGTCTGACACTGATGTGACCTCTGACACGTGTGGGCTTGTGATCTGTTTACATTATAAACACACAGGGTATCGGGTGGGTCAGGGGGAGGAAGGCAGTAACATTGACACACAGTACCCTACCACCCTCACCAGAGAAGAGCCCCGCCCTGTAGGTTCCTGGAGTTGATTTATTACTCATGCCCTCCTGATAACATGTGCATTTGGGGACAGGAGGCGGGATCAGGTCTTATCTGGAAGCAGCGACAAATTAATCCATTATCCACCATTAGCAGTTTAAATTAATGTGTCCAATTAGTACTCAGTCACCTACGAAAGACCTCAAGTATCTGGTCTTTTGTACAGAGAACTTGGAAGCTTTTATTGAGCACATATTACGAGGCAGCAAAAGTTATTTCAGGGGTCAGTAAATTTTTTCTGTGATGCATCAAACATTTTGTTTTTTGAGGGCATTAGTGCTACTGGCTACTCAACTAAGTATTTTTATTGAACAAGTAGCCACAGACAATAGGTAAATGGATATGTTCTAATAAACCTTTATTTACAAAATTAGACTACAGGTCTGTTTGACTGTTTTTGATACTTGTTAACTGTTCTGTTAAACTTATGATCATTTTACCAGGATATTTTATTTGTAAAAGAAATGAAGGATTACACAAGAAAAAGATCAGTCCTTTAAGTGCAATAAATTTAATTCATAAAAATTATGTTTTCTTTTTGTTTCAGTTTTGCACAATTGATCTTCAGACCTGTATTTTGATACCACGTTAAAAAATTTTAACTCATGTTGTAAGAGCATTTAAATATGTCCCTAATTCATAGAATAGGGTATAAACTCCCATATGACAATTAGTACCTGAGTGGTACAAATAACTGATGCCCTAGGCGGACAGGAAAGTGGTTGGAGATCCTGTTCCACCCTGAGGAGTCTTGGCAGAAAGACTGATTTGCTTTCGAAAGATCATTTCCGTGTTCACTTTGGAGCACATACAGGTGGTCCCTGTCTTATCGGTTTAAGTCAATTTGATGTAAGTCAAATATACCTTTTTATTGTTGTCTTCATGATTATTTCATTTTATCATCAGTATCATGATAAATCCGATATCGACCCATCTTTGTGTGGTCAGAACCATCGTGCATAAACATCTAGTAGTGATCATCTTAGAATAATAACCTCAGCACATTACATGCTACAACATTGTGTGTAGCACGTTATTGAGGATAAAATGTATGTGTTGTCAATATCCAGTGCAATGGCTACACAGAACTCACAATGTTCACGATTAAAGGGTTCATTAAGGATGTTGACAGGTAATGCAAATGAGAAATGTTCAGGATATAGTTGTTTATCAGGACATATTAGATGTGCTCATAAATACCACTCAATCTGCTGTAAGCTTTAACCCAGAGGTGGTCAGCTCAAACCTCATGGGTCAACAAACCCAGTGCCCTAAGTGACCCCACTCCAATAAGCCTTAGTCCCAAAGCCCTCAGCGTCACTTCCATTGGTCAGCAAACCCAGCTTCCCCAATTAACCCCAGCTTCCCCGGCAAACCCAGATGTACCCTGCTCTACAAGCCAGCATCCTGCCCCTGAGCACTCATTGTAATGTGATCCGTGGGATGGGCAGTCAGTTTTCTGCGCTGGCTCCTGGCTCTGCTGCCCCTCTGATGTTATTGTTGCCTTCTGGATCCAGGAGGTTTACCTCCCAGGAATCGTGGGTTCAAAGGATGTGCTCCACGCCCTACTCTTGCTGGAAATGAGATCCCTCCTCCTGCTTCTCAGAGGGTTTATTTATATGCAGCAGAATGGCTTTCCAGGGAATCCTGTTTACAATTACTCACAGGTGAATCTTATCAGCATCTTCCTCCATCTTCTTACCAGACCCAAGCAGGAAAAATGTCATTTGGGGGGAGTTGGAAACTGGCTGGAGCAACCACTTACATAATTCACTACGCCTATACCACACCAAAAAAACAGAAAAGCAAAGAGAAAGAGAAATCATGAGGGTGTTTCATTATAACTCAAATATGTCATAAATATATAACTATATATCTCTCTGTGATACATATAATAAACATATATATACTAAAATTGGAACAGCATGAGAAGACTAGCATGGCATCTGTGCAAAGCTGGCAAGCACAATTATTAAATGTTCCATACTTTTCTATCAAGAATATAGAGTTGAATTGGCAAATGTTATGTGATAGATAAACTTACAGAGAGAGCGTGAAATTAATTGCTGAAATGGCCTATATCAAAGGAAAGACCTCCTGGGTTTTGTTTCCTTGGTTTGGAGGTACAGGATGGTTTCATGAGATATCCCCATTAACTGCCCAGATAACATTCAGGGCTGCTGTTCTACTCCTAGTTCATTGCATAATGCCGAGGGTCTGAAAACGTTTCAAGCAGCCATTCAACGTAAAAAAATAGGTGTCTAATAACCTGGACCAACAGAGGAAAAGGGGAGTTAGGAATAGGAGAACATGGAATGTGCAGCTAATTGCCTCCTTTGACAGGAGCTGAGAAAAGGGTCTGATTTTATAAAAGAATCCTCATCAATAGAGAATTGCAGAACCGAATTGCAAACTCTCATGGAATCCAGATTTTCTGCAGCCATGAGGCTAGATTAGGCCCTGAAACTATTATCCTGAAACAACTCTTTATAACTTATACTTTAAACAAAGACCATCCCCTGGAATCTTTGAAACCAAAACAGCAAATGAGCTTACCTAGTAAAGAAGGCCGTTCCCGACCGCTGTGTTTTCTCAGGTCTATCGATATGGGATCAGATTGAAGAGAAGTAATGCTAAAGGCTGGATGTCTGGGGGGCAGTACGTTTACTTCCAAGGAGGTAAAATGACACTGAAAGGAGAATGAGCATGACTGCACAACACGAAGACCCATTGTAATGTCTTCCTGGTGCCCACCATTTCCAGTTTCCAGTGCTCGATCCATTGAAATGGCCACAAAGAAACTCACATACAGAATTCCTGAATGAAAGGTTTATTAAGGACGTTAACAAGTTGTAATGCCAGGGAGAAATATTCAGGGTAATTGTTTACCAAGACATATCACAAAGTTTCAGGTCTGCTAATAAATACTTCCTGGGGCATACCATTTTACTGTATGATTCAACCCGAAGGCATTCAGCTTAAGCACTGTGGGTAAGCAACTTCAACTTCCCCAATTAATACCCAGAGGCATCCCACTCAGCAAGCCAGCCTCCTGCACACACAAAAAATGGGTGTCTTAACTTGCTCAGTGGGTTAAAAAGTTCATCACTCTATTCTGTGCTCTGGCTTCTGGTCCTGCTGCTGCTGCTCCTCCGATGGTATAGCTGCCATCTGCATCCAGGAGCTTTCTTGTCAAGAGATCTTGGGTCCAGAGTAGGCACTCCATTCCCGACTCCTGCTATAATTTGATCCCTCCCCTGCTTCTCAGAGGGCTTATTTTATATGCAATAGGATGATACTCCCAGGATTCCTATTGGCAACAGGTAAATTGTCTCAGTATCTTTCCCCACGTTCTTACCAGACCTGTGCAGCCACCAGCCACTGTGGAGCTATGTAGAAGAAAGATGAGAAGGCTTGCTCACATGCAGATTTACAACCTCAGAAAGCCTTGACTCAATGGCAGACACACATATAGTGAAGTATGAACATGTGTGCACATGTGTGCGCACGCACACACACACACATACACACACACACACACACACACCTTGGTTGCACTGTTGGGAAAGCATTGAACTGCTAACCTCAAGGTCTTCATTTTAAATTTACTATCCACTCTATGAAAGAAAAAGTTCTAGTCTTGGAACGCCGTATAGGAGTCCTATAAGCGGGAACTGACTGGGTGGTAATGGTGGTGTGCTTGATTTTTGCTGTTGTTTTTTTCCATGCACATGAGGGGGTCTTCAAAAATGCTGTCAAAAAAGGAATTAAAAAATAATTAAAATACATGTATAACTTTTGATATCTGTATATAGAACCTGAAAACCAGATCAGAGTGAGGCTCATTAACAACTGATGGAATGCACATGACACAGTCTTGCAACTGTTTTGCTAAAAGCTCCAAAACTTGAGGCATCCACTGACGAAGATCAAAGACTATTGTGTTCAGTATGGATTATATCTCAATATAAATAAATTTAAAAGTTATCACAATGAAACCAATAAGCAGCATCATAATAACTGGAGAAAATAATTATAGTATCAAATGTTTCATTGTACTTGAAGTCATGATCATTACCTGTGACAACAGTGATCAAGAGATGTAACTAATACACTCAACAGTAACTGGTAGATAGTGCAGGGCAGTGCATAATCTAATGTATTTCTTCTAGTCTCTCACTCCCACCAAATGGCATTTTCCTGCACTGCTCTGGGTAATAACCTGGGAGAAGATATTAATAAGATTCATCTATGATTAATTAGGAACCAGATTCCTTGGAATAGCATTCTACTGAGCCCTCTGTGAAGCAGTCGTGAGGGACTCCCACTTACAACGAGAGCCAGTAGTGGATCATGTCCTGTGGACTCCAAGTGTATCCCTGTACAGTGGATCGTCTCCTCTGGATCCCTGTACAGTGAGTCGTCTGGACCCAGAAGACAGCAGTGACATCAGGAGAGCAGCAGCAGAGCCAGGAGTCAGCGCGCGGAGCAGAGTGGTGGACTTCCCAGCCCACAGAGGAAGCTAAGTGCTTTGGGGCAGAAGGCTCACTTGTGGAATAGGGTGCCCCTGGGCACTTAATTGGGGGAGCTGGTTTAGCTGACCCAAAGAGCTTGAGCTGAATGCCTCAGGATTGAAGCTAAAAGCAGAGCAGCATGACCTTTACGAATTTATTAGCAGCCTTGAACAAATTTTGTAAGGTGTCTTCCTATGCATTTCTTATTGTATTGCAACCCGTTAACTTTCTTTATAACCCCTTTAAGAATAAAGATTGCCTGTGAATTCTGAGTAGGTATTATTATAAATATTTAAATCTAAATGAAAAAAGTAGTTTTGTGATCGCACAGGTAAGTATGCATGGGGGTAGATTAGACAAATATAGGGGGCTTCAAAAGTCTATGGAATTAAAAGATCATAGACTTTTCCATGGATGTTTTCTGTCATAGATATAGTTAAAATCCACCACCACTGAATCAAGTCTGATTTACCGTAACTCTACATGACAGAGTAGACTGCTCCTTTGGGTTCTGAGGCTGTCCGCCTTGACAGAAGCAGCCAGTCTGCCCTTTCTCTCATGTAGAGGTCAGTAGACCCAGCTAGCAACCTTGAAGTTGGCAGCCCGACATTTAACCTACCACCATTTAACCTGCCACCAGGGCTCCAATTTCATGATGGGGGTTGAGAACTGTTGAATTGGCTCTAACAGAACATGCCGCCCATTACAACTGTAGCAGCCCCTGTGTCACTCTGCCTCATTGAGAGTCTTCCTATTTTTCACTGACCCCCTGTTTAACCGAGTATAAGGTTCCTCCTTTCTCTCACATACTTTGAACGTGCTATCAGGAACAGCACCTAATGACATGTCCAAAATATGTGAGAGATAAACTCCTCATCTTCACATCTAAGAAGTATTCTGTCTTCACTTCCTTCAAAACATATTGGAT